TTACAGAAAATATGCGTATTTGACTACCTTCAGCAAAGAATTAAAATATGAGCACAGCCCACGATCCAAAAATTAAAACATGTTTTGTGATCTTCAGAAACAGATCTTTCATTATGTAATTGCATATTTTGGATCAGAGGTTGTGCTCTATTTGAAATATTGAAAAAATACCTCAACATTTGGCCATTTCTAAGGGAATTTACAAGATATAGGAAAAAATGACGCATTTTATGACGTCATAATGCATTGGCAAGAGAGAAAATTACGTCATGTGCAATAGGTACACGGTCACCAAGGGTCCAAGCTATAAATACTGCATTTTCAATCAAAACTGAGCAGTTTCGATTTTTCAGAAATTCTCAGGGCCAAAAAAAGGCCCCAAGTGGCTCTTGCTCTTTAATCTTGAATGACATATTGGTGTGCACATATAATAAAACATGTGAGAGCTATACATATAAAGCCTTGAATTTACAATCAAAGGAAGCGAAGGTGTGGTCAGGATTTTGTATGTTCAGGTGGAGATAGTGAAAAATAAATTAGATGTAGATTTTATTTTTAATAATGCAATAAAAATATATCTTTTTGTGCATTTCATGCACGCAATTTAATTATGAGGGCCTTTATCACGGATCATAACTTAATAGGCAAGGAAAAGGAAGAGATTATTCAAGAGAAACGTGAAAAAAATCAATAGAGGGTAATGTAAGTTTAAGTTAAGATTAGAATGATTTTCTTGTTGTACTTTTGATTCTGACCATCCTAATCAAGGGATATTACAAATTACTTAAATCATTGCATTTCAAAGGTCGTCTTAGTTTTAATTTCATGGATAAAGAACATGCATAACTTTTAGCATATATTGATACTGTTGATTCCCAAATATATGCGAGGAATTAATCATCGCGTAATTTCGCGAGAAGCACCGCTCGCGAAATAAAGTTACTCGATTTCATTTTAATGGCGCTGAAATGCATGTAAAACCTCTAGATCAAACTTCTACTTTGTTTTTACGATTTGACGTTTAAGGGCACATTCGCGATATAAAGCACTCGCGTGAAATAAGGAATCCGCAATAAAATATCAGTCAATTTACACTGTACTGAATATTTGAATGAAAATCTTTTCACGATAAAACAATTTGCATATCTATGATTCTTTCAGCATTTATTGTCTTATCATACAAAACGATTTTGTTCAATCGGTTCATTCTTTTAAAATCGTCTAAAGATTCCAAAATTTGAATGAAATATAAGGAAAGGATACAGTAATCAAGCTCAAAATCCAAATGAAACAATACAACTTGTGTGCGGAGCAAACAAGGAACTCTAGATACATCAGTGGTGGGGTAAGGTACCATAGAGAAGTAAGCATTCCCTGTCAATCCGTCACAACGGCTGTTTGCTCTTTGTCATGAGTGGGTAAACGGAGAAATCAGTTCAATTCAGTATGAAATAATAGCTTAAAGATTCATATGAAAAACTTAAGTTAACAATTAAGTAAACAACAGCTTGTATTTGTAAACAAGGTCATACTTTCAACGATAGAACTTGCCAAATGTTGATTTCAAACAAAATTGTAGATATCTTTTTATCATCAACTTGTTTGTCAGTATCCTGACTCGTTTTAAACAATTGTTCTTACGAGAAACACGTTCTTTAGTATCGAATCAACTGTGAGAAATAACCAAATATCCAAGTGATAATTGTATATTGCTAGATAAAGAAGGGAAGTTGAAGATAGAACGGTTGAAGACAACACGTTTATCATTAAGTTCAGTTGTTAGTTTGCTATCATTGTTGTTCTCTAGTAAAATATCCAAAGCAGTTGTGTCAGATTCTGTGATTTTTTTTTTATTTCGAGTTCACTGGGATATATAGAATCAACGAGGGAATGAAAACCAATAATGTTTAATTGATAAAAAGATCGTCGACATATTAAAGGTCGAATTGAAGGTCACAACAAGAGACGTCTCCTTTTCCTGTAGGTTTTGAATAAATTCTGCTTCATATGAAAATAAAAACATATCTGCTAATAACAGAGCACACTAAGTACCCATGGGAGTTTGCTGGAACACCTGGACTCCAAAGATTATATAATATTTTCAAAGAAAAATTGAAGCATCTTTCTAATATCAACTTCAGAGTACCTGTGTGTGGAGGTAGAATGTTTTTTATTTTATACAATCAGTTTGTAGATGACCAATGACAAGGTATGTAAATTTACGAAGAAACAGCTGTATATGATGTCAAAAGCCTAGTTTTTAATTATCGCGAGGAATGTTTGTATAAAGTGTTGAAAAGTATGTTTGAATATTTATGACATTGGTAAGCTTTTGTGATGACCTAAGATTTTTAAAAAAAATGTTCCTTTGAGTTTTTCAGTAAATATTAATTTTAAAGACCGTAACACCTTGTTAAAAAGAAAGAAAAAGTTTCAATACAATAAAACTAATTTTATCTTTCATCCGGTTTTTGAAAGAGTCTCTTCAAAAACTTTTCCTTTGATTTATTTGATGATATGACTGTACTACATCAATTATAATCTTTGATCAATCAAGTCTACGAAATCATGTAAAATATGAAGATAATTTCATAAATCCCAAAAAGAATACAAATTGTGAACAGGGCAAAAATGTGAACCTCTGGAAACACAAAAGATGTGATCTGGAGCCTTAAAGTGGGTAACATTCTTTGTCAACCTCTTACACGCTCCGTGAGCTCTCCGTATTGATCAGGAAAACAGAGTCATCCGCAGTCAAACTGGTATAAAACCAATGACCTTATAATTGGTTGGAAACATGTCTGCCAGTTAATATAATTGTATTTGCAAATTAAGTCCTTGTACCGGACGTAGAATTTGCGAAATGCTGATGTGAAAAATATTGAAGCCCGGCTAAATCTGCTTTTTTTGCATTGTCAGCAGCATTCACTGGTTTAAAAAAAAGTAATTGTACTCAGAAGATGACTTTGATTTCCAAATCATTTAGAAGACATATATGCAATATATAGATAATATTGGATTATTACTGAATAAATGGAGACAGTTGACGATTGATGCTGAACTTATCAAGTTCTATAATACAGTAGTTAGTTAGATGACCATCAACGTTAATAGACAGTAAAACATCCATATATGAAACCTCCACCTCCACTCAATATGTAAATACAAGTAATGGCTTTTGAAAAAGCTTGCCTGACTAAATCAATCAATATCTATGAAACGTATAAGCAAAAGAAGTGCTAAACGTTTCCGTCATCAAGGAGCGACATAGTTGCGATACTTCATTACTTACGATGTACAATTGACTTTCTCAAATGCCATAACCGGATATTACAGATTAACGAATATTTAAGACATGCTACGTACTGTATGGTCATTTATAGATAGTTAGTCCTCGGGCTGACCAGTTTCATTGGGATGAAACTGCAAGTGCGCTTGCGTAGATAGGAAATTCTGGGGAAATAGTTAGAAGAGTCGTTCTAAAGAAATTTATACACTCTCTTATTACCAGAGGGCTCGCTTCTTCATGCACACTCTCTGGTCAGTGATAGATTGATGAAACGGCTTCTATTCATGGACTGGTCTGTTCTCCGTCCTACTCGACAACGAAGTAAATTGAGAATAGTTTTAACTAGAAAAGTTGTCTTGAAATGTTTGAGACAAAAATGTTTCAATGCTGCTCTAGGTATAAGTATATAAATGGCCTGTACACTTTATAGCTAGAGCAAAATAAGATAATAATCCCCCCCCCCTCCCCCAAATGTAGAGTTTTTAAATCGTTTACAGTTTTTCTTTTCAATCGATATCAGGACCTTTCTCATTTCTCCTATAATAACGTGATTTTTATTAAGTGAAAACCAGTACACAGCATGATGTCTTCTTCATTTCGCGAATTCTTTATTTAGAACCTTACGGGAGTGAAGCCCATTCCTCTACGGGTACTGGCCTACACTCTTGTCACTGTATTAAAAGGAAACCCTTGTTCACCACAAAGCATTAAATAATACGCTACTGGCTTTTATTTAGAACGGGTGGACAAGAAGGGATGTCCCATTTACTTGGTGGAGGGAGATCGTTTATGATTGGACTAGTCCACTTATGGAATAACCGGGACACAAAATAGCAAGAATAATCAGCAAACCCATTGCTTTAGTTTTGCCTGTCCATATCGACCCGACAATGTGTTTTTTTTTTTAATGAGATAAAATTTGCAGTGAATAAAAAAAATCTGAAGCTTAAGAATCTGGTTAAAAGAACAAACATTTATTTCCATATAAGTTATCACACCCATTCAATAGAACAATCCAATAAAAAGGTGCGAAAATAATTGACTTGTAACATTTGGCGCAAAATGTGTGTGTCACCCCAATGGACAGATCCAGTAGTTTAGAAATGCAGAAAAAATGTTACACGGACATGTCCGTATAAATAATTGCAAAGAATAAACAGTTGCATGCAAAAAACTGAAGGAAGTAAACACATCATTATTTTGCATCAGTAATATGATTGTTTCTTCTGCAAACTGTATTTTTTTTAAATGCAGGTAACAAATTCCGATGTAAATCAGCTTGCAAAAAATCTAGCTCACTCTTTATGATCGTTTAGTTTCGGATCATGAAAATATTAATCCTTATACTGCCTGACGCACGTGGCGTCAGGCAATAATATTAGGAATACTTTAATCTATTACAAATTCTTTCATTAACTGTAACTTCCTGTTGGATCTATCTTATTTCTAGTGACTGCGTAAAATTGCCCTAAAAATAAAACAGTTTGGTGTACAGTGTTTAGAGATTCCTTAAACTGTGTTTGTATACGCTCACTTTTTCTTTCACTTCTTAAAAATAAATTCAAAGCAAAATACCAGTTTTATTTCCCAAACATTTCAATACATGTAATCAAATAAAGTGACAGAAGTAAACAACCAAACATTGCTTTTCACATTAGAGACCCGACTTCATACGGAATTTATACAGGCAGTAATTGATATAGGTTAATAATTAATAAACTCTGATTAGACATAGTTCTGAATCCGTCAGTAGCCGCACTTCCTTCCCTGCAAACCGAGGTGGTGAGTTACACTTAACTTTGGATATGTTACAGAACCGGGCTTTTTGACACAGATCGTTTAGATACTGGGCGAGTACCTTTGCATGACAGTCACAATGAATGGGGTTGTCTAGAAGATTAATCAGGAGTAGGGTTTTCCCACTTAAATACGAGAGCAAATCCTCTGGAACACTGGTTATGTTGTTGTTCATCAAATTGATGGATAAAGCTTTTTGCTGGACATCAGGGTATTCAAAGGAAAAGTTTTGAATATTGTTGTTCGAGAGATCTAAGGTTTGTAGGGCAGGGAAATATTTCCACCACTTTTTGAGTTGGTCGGGAATGCGTGGGTAAGAATTTGACGAGAAATTGAAAACCTTAAGCTGTGGATAATGGAAATGGTCAGTTAACTCTTCAAAATACATACGTGATATACTGTTACTGCCACTCTTCTCAAAATAGATCATATCTTCATAAATGCATTCCAAATTTATGCTTTTTCTTTTTTCAGTCAAAGCGTCTAATGCAGCGGCCAAATCATCTATTGATGGGATATTTGTAGTTTGTATAAAAGTATAAGATGTTTTTTCGTCAACAGTGAAAACTACAGTTTCCTGTCCACAAGTGCTATGCCTTAAAAATTTGAAGTTCATCATCAATTCCATATTTTCGTAAATATCAACAATGATGGAATTATTAATGAAAGCCCGATATTGCACAGTATCAGGGTATTCTGAATCTACATTGGATTCAGAGTAAAAGCCGTCAATTAAGCAGTTTCTGACATAAATGTTTCGTAGATTTCTTGCTCTGTAGGGCCAGGGTAAATAGACTACTCCTCCGTCTAAGCAGTGAAGGGAAAGACTTACGTTTCCAATATAAAAGTTCGTATCCAACCATTCTCTGAAATCTGTTAAGTTCCAGTTCTTTGAAACGACAAATTCACAGTTTAAGTTTCCAGATGACTCAGTTTGACAACCCTCGGTAAATTCAGAGATAATTTCAGCTGATAGACTTTGGCATGCACCGATCAGTAAAGAAAATGCAATGCTGAAATATACAAATCTATCACACATTTTTTTCCTTAATCGGATTTCTGAAAGTATAGTTTTTGATTTCAAACAGTTTGCCTGAAAGTTAAACCCGAAGTCATGGCAGGATATATTCGTGGTATATATAAGATCATTCAAACTCTACGCTGCGCATGTCACTAAAGGGGGTGTATTGAAAGTTGCAAAATTATCCAATGGCGATGTAATAAAATTGAATGAGTGGAGTTATGAGTCAAGCTTATTTCCAGGTGAGGCTAACTTGTCATTCTTTGAGAGAACTCATGATACTCAGATGAGCATCAGGGGTTATAGATCTATTGTTATATATGTAATTTGAGATATCGAGATAATGTTTGTTAGATATGTAGGGCAATAGGTTTTCCGGAATTCATAAATTTGTAAAAGGTTGAATTTGGTATTAGGGTGAATTAAAAAAAATGACCATACACATATTTATCAACCTGAACTAAAAATACAGGCAATGGGAATAAATTTCTATGTCTCAGCATATGTCTTTAGATAGTGTCTAAATACCTGCCGAATATCTCATTGATATCTCAATGCAAAAAAAAAGTTATGCCCAAAAATGATGCTAAAAATGTCAGGAGTGCATCACCTTTTTGTGATATTTTGAAAAATTTTATATTTTTTGAAGATCTGTGAAATAAATATTAATGGTTTTTGTTGGCAATAAAGAATTTCCTGGTAATATTCAAAGTATTAAGCTTTAAATGTAGACTGTAGCAACTTTTGATTGACCAAGTTGTGGTTATGGCCGTAGTGTTGCCAAATTAACATCAATTTTAAAAATCTGAAAGACAACTAAGTCAAAAAGAATGTTCAAAGTGTAAAACAATAACTTATTTACAATTTAAAGCTTAAAAATCTTATATAAATTACAAGCAGCATTAATGAGAGTCAAGTAACTTTGCATACCCAATAATGTTTGGAATGCAGCATTTGATGTTTTGCTCGCCAGCATGAAAAAACTTTTATCAGTGTACGATTATCTGATTTTTATTTTGGAAAATAAAGACACAAAGAACTTTTTACCATAAAGATTTATCAATTACAGGGTCTGTCTGTATTTCAGATCTATATTTCTATGGTCAGGAGTGCAACACATCTTTTAAAGATTCAAGTTATATGATGAAAAGACTTCTTTTCATGCTAAGAAATACATCTATTATTTAATTAATAATGATCTATAATACTTTAGTACTAAGTTATTGACAGTTTCATTATTAAAATCTTTCTCTCTTTCAATTTTATCAATTCATTTGTGTTTTTATCTTTTCTTTCATTTTTTTTAAGAATGTAAAAAGTAAATACACTGAAAAACTGTTATAAAATTCAAGTTATTCCACCTCAACTTCACTGAAACAATAAAACAAGTTCTGATGTAATTTTCGCTTCACAATTCTACTTTAAAGACTCCCATGCTGTTGGTCAGGAGTGCAACAAAAACGTTAGAATTATTGCTGATCAAATATGAATAGATATAAAGAAAAAAATTGATGAATATAATGTTTCTGGTTGCCCTCAGTTGATTACAGTGCTTGTCCTGTGAAGGAAAATGTACTACAGAATATATTTTATCTTCTAAATATATATTTTAGCTAGTGTTTCGACATAAATAGGGAAGAATTTAAGATATAAAACCAAGTTTTAATACTTTCATGTGTTTAAATCATGATATATTGGACTATAAATATTGCACAATTTCATTACCACTTGGTGTTACCAAAACTTTATGAATTTTTGTGTTCTGTATTTTAATTTTTAATGTTACTGCAGTCAGGAGTGCAACAAAACTGCTTTGTAATTATCAATGATCTTCATCTATCTTTACTATAAAATAAATTGAAAAAAAAAATGTTTGATACTATTTGATGTTCAAAACATTATGTCTATCAACTAATTACAGGCATTTTACAGTCAATTCAGAGAATAGTTTTCATCACTTAAAACACATATTTTTTAAATACATTGTATATAAATTACACATCGCAGTACAGTTAAGGTGCACAATGGAAATATCGGCAATTTTTATGATTTAAAAATATATTCTTAATCAGGATGGCGATTCTTTTTAGGACTTTATTTATATCGGTTATATGTAATTATCGTTATTAACTACATATTGAGGACGATTAGATTTTATATTTAGACTTGTCACGTGATGTGGCAGTCACGTGATTTTAGCACATATACTTCCAGTATTGAGGTCACCTATAAATTTCACTAGTGCAAGGGCATAACCAAGTTAAAATTCTAAGTTAAGTTTATAAATATTTTCAACACGCATCGTAGTTTCTGAAAAGTGCTGCGATCCTGTATAGATTCTGCTACTTCATTGTTAAAATCATGTTTGTATGACCGCATGCTCAATTTTTTGCTGGTCAATGGCATTAAATATAGATATAATTAATTCATTTTCAAGATTTCACCAGGATCGCGGCACTTTTCAGATAATTTAATACTTCTAAAGTTGATTTGTAAAAGCTTACTATGATCCATTGAGTGTATGCCCTTGCACTAGATCGATTTATTAAGACACTTACATTACCCTCTGATGCACTTGCATACAAATATACAGCGGTATCAATTAAATAGGAAGTGTACGGAAAATATATGAATAAAATCATAAAGAAGACATTGAATCCAAGCTAATGCCTTCTTAAATATCTGCAAATAATATTTTATCTAATTATAAAACACATTTTTCGTTGTGAAAATATTACTTGATCCGCCTCTCACTGCATACAAACTGCGTCAAGTTTTACGAAATGAAGTCACATCGACAAGTGCATTGCGATCAGTGACTCGTTTATACCTTGCTATATAGGATTTATCTAATGACAAAACAGCATGTTGAAGTAAGTTTTGATGTAGTTTGATGGTTTCCTACATTTTACAATAGCAACTATTTCATTTTGTGGTATTTTCAAGAATTGATAGTTTTGTATGATGTCATAGTTAATATTTCCCGTACAAATTAGGCCCCGCCCCCTTTTTGTAGCCTTAACTGTGCTGCGATTGCAAATAATCATGCTTTGAAGTCTTGAAAAATATGAAAAAGGTGCCGTAAATGATAAAAGATATCAAAACGACGAACTGAGTAACAAACTAAGAATTGGTTATTCTGTCTTATAATTTTTAAAACAATGTTAAATAAATTACATATCAGATGTCAGTGGCCCTTTTCACAAAAAAATCTTACGACTAAGATAAAAAAAAATTCCCATTCTCTAACGAGTATCTAAACTGTAGTAGGTCACAAAATCTTACATTTCTATTACATTAGATTACAATTGCAAATAATATTTTAGAAAAAAATAAATATCTTTATCAAACAAAAATTATAAAGGTATCAAAGTATTATCTTAGTCGTAAGTTTTTTTGTGACAACACAATAATGTAAAATAGGGTCACTTTAAAATCTAGTATTTTTTTTAATAAGAAAACTTGTATATAAAAATTCATTTTTTGGCATATGATTTAAAGAATTGACTTCAATGGACAAAAGAGTGATTTTTTTGGAAATTTTATTTTTTCATATTTCTTTCATATTAAAACTTTTCGCCAGAATAGAAAAAAATAATGTAAAATAACAATCAAAAAGCCAATTTTTCCCACATATACAAGAGAGGAAGCTCAGTCAAGGTTTAGATCTAATAATTTATATCTCTAATACCATTTTGAAGCATAAACAACTGTAGTTTCTTTTAATTTTGTATTTTAGATAGTCTTTTAAGATGTAGTGATATTTTCTTTTTCAAATAAAGTTTTACTAATAAAACTTCTAAAACTTTTTTATCCAATTGTCTATTTTATTACTACTTCAGGAATTTTAACTAGAAAACATGTACAATATGACGATAAAAGTAAAAATTATGTTATGGGTAGTTGAATTTTTTCAAAAAAATTCAATTTGGTTGTCATTATTTTTGAATTCACCCATCATTCTGTTCTCTAATCTCCGGAAAAAATAGACATCTTGGCAGATCAGGAAGTTTTGATTTTTATATACATGTAACTCAAAGATCGAGCTCAGTAGCGGATTATCACATGAAATATCTTCTGTCTAGTTAAGCTATATGAGATAGTTTTACTGTCTTATTTTATGGAAATAATTTTACTTTTTTCACTTTAACATACACAATGACCATATTACGAGGGTTTTCTCAGCCAATACGGATTTTTTTCTAAACATTTCAAAAACTGCCTGACGAGAATAATTCAGTTTTTTGCACTGACACGTAAATGAAATGATCTCTTCGTTATTAAAAAAGAATAAAAGGTTGTAATATTAAAAACATAGGGAAACAGCATATATACAGGATATTGAATGTTTCGTAGTTGGATATGAATTTATTTCATGAGTGGGACATGAATTTTTGATATTTTCATGAGTGCGAAGTACGAGTGAAGATATTAAAAAATCCTGTCTCACGAATGAAATAAATTCCACATCCAACTACAAAACATAGAATTTTCTGTTTATTACATTTTCTTTGATTTCCCTTTTCTTCTGTCTTTATTAACACAGTGTCATATAATGTGACGTCATAGTTGAGCCGTTGAGACGTCAAAGCCTTGCAATTGTGAGA